GTGTCCCTGGCTATTCTTTGTTCTGGGCTCCGCAGTGGCTGACAGGCCCCGCAAGTGACATATATGTATTCAACCCATTCCCCTACAGAGTACTCTATACGGAGCTTTGAATGATTCATGGAAGACTATATTGTATGTAGATAGATAAGATCTCAGTCTACGGAAGTCTCCCACTCTGCACTGATCTCTTCAAGCACGTCATCCACGGGAGGCCCGAGGGAAGATGAGCTCCATTGAGCTCAATACAAGACCTCATCATGCATCCTTAACCGGCTCAGCCTGCAGGCTGGATTTAACTCCTGCATGCAGCCCGGATGTACATAGCACATCTCCAGAAGAGGGGACATGCGTTCTTAGGCCTCTTGTTGGGAGGACTGGGGTTGTCCGACCGGAGGCTTCTGTAACGGCTATGCGTTGTTTGCCCTGCAGACTTTAGTGGATGCGCCGTAGCCGCCTGCTGTTCCACACTTTGCTTCATGGTCTCGAAGTGAAACACGACATGAACTATGCCATAAAAAGAAAACTAAGCGTATTGGGTTATCTATGGTATAAGTCTAATTGTCTCACTGGGACACTAATACTATTGCTGCCTAGGTACTCGATAATATAGGGATATAGAGGAGTAATTAGTACTACGTACATAGTATGTACTCCGGAAGTACAGAGTACTCCTTGGGGTGTTCTCCTAAGTTCAGCCACACAGGAATGCTCTAGACGAAATTGGCATTCAGGGGGTTCCCCTTAGTTTATTGGACGTAGCTACTTCCGTGGTGTGACATAGGTTGCGGTTCGTGTACTTTTGCAATGCAGATGGATTTCTTATTCTATTATTAAGCCGAGATCTCGCCCGAGTAACATGACCTAAAGTTTCGGAACCTGCGCGCCATTCGCCATTTGAGTCCGTGTGACTACGCGGTTCATCTGAAATTGGGCTTCGGGATATAACTCAACATAATATTACTATGTTACTATTTGACTATTTCGATAAACTCGACCAAAACCATTAAACTATAACCTTGAAACTACAAACAAAGCATCGTACATTGTATATTGTATTCCGTACTCCTTACTCCGTACTCCGTATATTTGCCGGAGATGATCTGTATTCCGGACCCAACACCCCTGCCCCTCCTTCTCCACCCCTTCGCAAGAGCTTCTCCCGCTTCGATTGTGGACCTGGAAGGCTTCGACCAGGGTTCTGCAGAAATATTGAAATGACCACTTGATCTAAACTTCGTGCACGCTATATTATATATTATATTGAGTGATTCTCCTTATTTTATCATACCATTATTACTCGAAGATTCCGCCAAGGGGCGAGAATGAACTCAGGCTATGACGTAAAAGAAAGTTCGGTTGACCTTCTCACTTTGTTTCACCTCGGTATGTGTACGTGGGTGTACTACAGGTAAGCCACTGGAATATCGTGTACAATGAATGTACCAGCGTATGCCTAATAAGCCGCATGCGCTGTATTCCCGTATGTCTCTTTATCCTGCCTAAAAGGATTTCAACAATCCCGGGGAAAGAATTAGTTCTTGGTGGCTTGATAACTATTAAACACGGTGTATTGAAGTGGCAGGTGGCTGTCTCTGCTTTTGCCAAAAAAAAAAAAACAATCGGCATCAGTACCGGGAGTTAACGGACTCCACTCCAGTGCCCGAAACAGGCTCGCAAATTACGGTGAGGCTTTTCCCGAGTCTTCAAATTTCGAATCTGATCAGGGGCTGTCAATTGATTTGTTACTAATATTTTCCTATTTTGTTACCGTTGTTGTTTTTGTATTAGACTAGTTTGTACGGAGTACACACAAGCCTAATATCGTCACTTTTTTTTTTCCATAGGGAGCTTTGTCGTATTCAAGTTATATAACAAACCCACTGCCGATAGAAATGGGGCCGCCCATAGGGCTAAATTTCCCGCATGCTTAGGATGTTGGCATCAGTATCAAATCAACCGGGATAGGAGAGAATAGCGCGCGCGAGATGTAGATCCCGCCCCAGTCCCCATCGCTGCCAAATGATATATCACGTGGTGCAATATATGAACTCTGTATGTTGTAACGCATGTAAAAGCACAAGAGCCATTATTTTAACGGAAAATGGATCAAAAAATAAACTAAGAATGAACATGTCGACGTGGTCTACACGATCTATACAACGCACATCCGATAACGCTTCCAACATCCGATACACACAAAAAGAACAGCCTTGTTCTCGGCATAGGCCGGAAACACCTCTGAAGCCAAGTCTGGATCACCGAGTTTCAGGAATCTATGCAGCCAATCAGGGATCGCCACCTGCTCCAGCGGACGAGAGGATCGTGCCGCCACCGACCTCATACGCTGCCAATGCCTGTAGTCGAATCCTAGATGGGAGTAGCATGTTTTTTTTTTTTTTCATTTTCATTTTTTTTTTCATACAAGGTCCTTGGAGGATCTGACTTGCATTATTTTATTTTTAATCGGTTATAGACGGACGTATTGAGATTTGGTATTTGTATACAAATGATTTGAAGGTTTGATGTTGACTTTGGAATTGACTTTGGAGTTATCGATGTTAAAAAAGTGGTTACAGTCCCATACTCCAATTCTCCATCGTTCTCCATTTTCCCATGTGTTCTGTGGAGCGGCATCCATTCTGTGCAACATGGAGGGTTATGGGGTGGCTCACGTTGAGCGTTGACAGTTCAGGAACGAATTCACTATTATTCTTCAATGTTCCATGTAATTGCCCTACCCTGGCTTTGGAATCAACGTGTACCAGTGATTTCTTCCCGGCCGCGTCATGGGTTTCGGATATAATTCGATATTAGGATGGCTACGCATATATGATTCGCCTCCTATTAATATCTGATACTTCGACCTCGCTACCATTTATTCTGATCAAATGATAAAAGTAAGATTTGGAGGCGAGTTTCATATTTTCATATGAGCCTTGGATGCTTCGATCCACCAGACCATGGTCGGGCCGAACCATCTGTTTGCAGTGTAACCTTGAGGAATGCTTGCACAAACCATTTTACTAGAACTTGCATAAATTGAACTAAAATGCAGCCCATCGGACCGAAGCATTTCAACCCCAAATATTATAAAGCCAAAAAAGAGAAGAAAGAAAAGAGAAAAAGAAAAAGAAAAAAAGACCAGTTCGCAATTGAAAAAAGGCAAAACGGGCCCGATTTGGAAATCGTAATACAATACGGCGGTAGACTCGGCTCACCCCCGACCCAAAAACAGCCACTTGCTCGCAACTCGCCTCTTTTTTTTTTCCCTCCAAAAATTCAATAATCCATGGTTCAGACCGCCAGATCTGTCAAAGAACCAAAAAAAAAAGGGAAACTTCAAACGGTCCACTCAAATCCAGGAACCTCAAGATAATCCATGGAATTGGAATCTTTCATTGAATTCGTCATGACGTAGTGTCGCCGATCCCCGACTGTTCCTGGGCTATTCTCTCCCTCTTTCATAGCCCCTGACAGAGACGATCGGGACTGCGTGCAATCAGCCCGGACGGGAGCGGGCTGGTGGACAAGAGGGGCTGTATTCCGGCTGTACAACAAGGGACCCCTCAACACGTTTTTTTGGGTTACTTTTCGCATTCTTGTCCCTGTTCTTGTGGTTGGAGGCGCTTTAGGTTTCTTTTTTTTTTCTCCTTAGATTCCCCGAGGTTTTTCATTTTTATTTTTGACTTTCAAAAAATGATACATCGTGATAATATGCTCACGAAAATTGCTTACTATTAGGCACTATAGAAGCTTTAATGTGGAAATATATCTCCGGGAAATTTGAAATGGAATTCTGTATGTTGTAGTATGCAAGTGGGACCCCCCCTATTGTTAGTAGACGGCTCCTCGTGTTAAGGGGGTGTGGGCTGCCCCCCTCATCTGGAGTCAGATTAAGCATATCTCTATTCCAACCCTTTTTTTTTTGTTTTTCTCCGTTGCATCCATGTTCAGTGTCCACCACCGCCGGTGGGGTCTCAGGGGTGGTGGAGCTTACAGGATTCTCCCCGGGGATCCCAGCGCAAGGCACGTTGTACAAGGTACTTAGCCTTGGGGGGAGAGGTAGTTGCTTGGATTCCGTACTTTAGGGATTGAGTTGGGTTTTAAATAGGTGGCTTCGTGTCTGAGCTTGCTCTCGGGGTCTGGGCATTGATTGGTTTATTTGCTTTTTTAGAAGGGCAAGTGGTGTAGATACTTCCTTTACGTGGAGGTGCGTGTACAAAGTGCAACCAAGGGACGATCAGCAATTTACATGGTTGTTCTGCAATGTATATAATTGTGTGCATAAACTCTTGCTTTTTCTTTGAATACGAATGCCCATAAATCTCTGTGGTGGAATATGACGTGCTCTACTCCGGATACGACAAACCCTAATACATTTTTATACATGCAAGAGCCTCCAATGGTTCTTCAACCTCTCGAATAGAATACGTAGAGGAGATAAAATCTGATTCGTTTCCATCCTCAGCAGAATGTCATACGACTTTCATACAGTCCACCTTATCTCAGCCATATGGAACTGGTGGAGCAGTGGGTTTGCTCCATACTCTCCGTCATATCACATAGCCTAAATCAAACCAGGAGGGGCGCGGGGACAGGCTCCATATGACGCTGTCAGATCGGTCCATATTTATGGAGCCAGATCTATGTTGTGCTTTCTGACATGCAGGTGGCGAATGCTTACATTCTTCTGTGTGGATTCATCTCCGGCCATTACTACTGTTTACGGATAAAAGTCTCTGCATCAAGATGGAGATATTTTGTTCTTACATAAATTAAGTTGAGAGTTCCAGGGCTCTTTCGTTGATATTATCTGGTGTCTGTCTGCTCCTACTAAAAGATTGAAGGTATCAAATAAAGGCGTACAAAAATAATAACTTGCGACAGGCCTCCAAAAAGTGTCTGACCCGATGTATAATATTTAACTTATGTAGTACCAACACAAATATCAAATCTTAAATCCCAAACTAATACAGTGAATTTTCCACAGCCATGAATAACTATAGAGGATTATCTGGATCGTCCGTCTTGGACAAAGCAGTCGTCTCGGTCTCTCGGGGTTCAGGCTCAATCCCCTCACTAACAACCGGCTCCTGCTCAATCGCATGAATAGCATGCTCGACATTGACCACAGGACCTTTGAACCAGCGATGGGCATCAACAACCCACCAAATCGAAACCATCAACATTGGCGCACCCCAAACAAGACAAGTCCAATTCATCTGATCAGGTGTCAAGTCTTTACCAGTAACACTGGGCAAACACAAAATCGGGACCATCAAAAGCACAAACACAACACCAACGCCACCAATAAACGGACCAAAAGGACCCAGATGCCAGGGGCCCCTGCGGAACCGATTACCGACAAAGAACACCCGAATAGTAATAGGAATTGCAAAAGCAAAGAACTGCGCAATAGCGCCAATAGAGAACAAAGCGCCAATCGCCACGTCCCCAGCCAGAATAAGAAGACACATCAGAATGCCGAGAATGGCGTTCAACACGACCGCATTAACGGGCGTCTGCGTATACGGATGCACCTGCTTCCAGTAATCCGAGAGCGGAAAGCAGTCGTCACGAGCATAGGCATACGTAACCCGCGACGCGGCAACCATACACCCCTGACCCATCGAAAACCCACAGATAATCGTCAAAGCCAAGATAGCCATAGCCGACTTCTGCGGCATGACCTGCAGTAAATACGACGCCCAGGGCTGTCCTAGATCGGAATCAATAACGGCTTCGATATCCAGCACCGTGTATGCAACAACCAGCTGTAGGAACCAGCCCATTAACCCACCGACGCCGGAAGTGAGCACGATTGCGCGCGGCGAGGCGATGTTCGCGTTCGAGCACTCCTCGCTCAAATGGAATGGCGAGTCATAGCCGGACATGGTCCATATCACGCCGACGAAGGTCATGAGTACGGCGACGCCATCCGGGAAGTCGGTTAGGTTTGTTATGTCGCCCCAGACTTGTTTGGAGGGTGTGAATTTCGGGCTGTTCTTTGTCCCGGCGGGGATCATGATGAGGACTGCGATCAGTGCGATGAAGTTAAATGTTGAGCCCCATGAGTTGAACTGCGCTACGCGCTTCGTAGACATGCTGCTGATTCCGGCGTGCAGGATCATTATGAGGGTTGTCAGGAGGAAGGTCTGCCATGATGTTGGGATGTAGGATGGGTTGTAGACTGAGACTGCTGCGAGGATCATTGCGCTGAGCGAGTAGTTGACTGACGGCGCTGCGGTTATTTGTCCGATCCAGTTGGACCAGCCGGTGATCCAGGCGGCGAAGGGTCCGTATCCCGGAGGGGCGAGGACTGCTGCGGCGTAGTATAGTCCGCCACTGTATAACACATCATTAGCATTCCTTCGGCACTAACTTCTTGGATGTTGTGTTTGGGGGCCGGTGGGGGGTGTTCATACCTAGTCGGCATTGCCGAACATAGCTCTGCCATCGACATTGCAATGCACTGGATGAATATCATCGCAATGATCCAGCCCCAGACCATACCCGCTGTGCCGGCGTATCCCATTCCTTTAATCCAATCAATGTCAGCTATACCCTGTACCGAATTGCACAAGCACAGATCTTTGAGTCCTCACCATAGTACAGTGTACTCGCAAATGACGGTAGCAAGCCCAGAACAGCGAAGCTGACGCAGAAAGTCGTCCATAGCGAGAACTCGCGCTTGAACTCTTGCTTGTAACCCAGCGCCGTGATCACCCTCTCATCAGCATCCATATCATGATCTGTATAGGGCACATCGCCATCTGGGAGCACGGATGTGACTTGAGCATTGTTAGTCTCGTGGTGTCCTTTGGAAATGTCCGTAACAAGAGTTTTGGTCTCCATGCTTGCGCCCATGGCCAAGATCAACAGGTAAGCCACTGATGTATGCGATATATATATATCAACGAAATAAAAATGACAACCACACAAGGGATGAACAAGAATGTCTTAACCTCGAAGCAAGAGGCAAGGGAAATCGGAGTATAATAAAATAACCCAGGATTATGAGTTATAAAGCAAACTGACAGGGGGGGAGCATGATGTTATCTATGCATAGCACGGGGATTTTGCCTTTCGCCCTGCGCACTGGCGATCGCAAGAACCAACGAGATGTAGGTTTCTAAACGAGTTGGAATAAAGCCAGACCAAACTTGGAATAATGGATGTCGGATATCGGACGACTCGACATCATTGTGTAATGAAGGCCGGTGACAAGTGAGGGGGAACGCCTCATGGAAGCCAGGCTCTCCGCAATGTACTCCTTACAAAGAGGAGCGATAAGAGTAAATGACCATGGCTGTTGATAAATTAAAACGAATATATTGAACCACAGAATAAACAGATATCTTATTCAAGTATGCGAATCGTCTTACTCCGCAGTCTTGTGATTTGTAGAGACGGAAGATGTTACCGCTCATTGGGGGCATAGGGTTTCGACAATCGGTGCCACGAGGTTGGTCGAGAGAAATCTAGTCCCATTAAGGAAACTCTAGGCGTTTTCAAGGGACTTCTGCCGGGAGAGAAAGTTAGGTGCAAGCAGATGTGGTTATCATCGTGATAACAGAGATAAGGGTTCGACTCGTGTCTTCTGAAACCCCCAGAGCTGCTATTATCAGTTGCTTGTTATCTAAAGGCTGTACCTGCCTTGTTGGGAATAGAGACTTTGGATTGAATGCTGCAGAACCTCCGCTTCTAAGATTGTTCTATGTATGTGCAACTATATACATCGGCTATTCCCTGGTGGGTTTTCCTATCTATGCCGCCGCTTTTATGAGGGCGCTTAGGCTTAGGCTGAGTAGATGTCAGCCCAGGCTCAGACCTGGGGAGCATACCCCGGTCACCCCAGTCAGTCACATGCAGAGTGACTAATGTCTAGTGAGCGCTAAGGTGCTCATTCCAAGTCTTGGTTGGCATCGGGGTACTTGGTGACACCTAGTGTTCGATCAGTGGGTCACTCTGGTGCACTATACCCAGAGTGGATTAGCCCTTATAGGGTGGTTGATATTATCCGTTGGCGGCATTGCTTCTATTCCTACTTTCTATGGTACTCTGTCCTACTAAGAAAACGTTGTTATACCTTCAAGTTGTAAGAAGGATCTGAGTGCTCTGCCCATTCAATGATCCATATTTAGGACAAAGGTTCCTTCCATTTTCCAACTTAGAGCGGCTTCAACTTAAGATCCTGGTATAAAAGTAGACCCTTGCCTAACCTACACGTTTAATAAATTTAGTGTTAGGGTAGGTGATATTATCGCTGCAAGATAATAGGAAAAATTTGAACCAGTTATGCAGTTTCTTTTTATCCCCCCGGATAATCTATGATACTAGAAACTAGAGACGAAAGCTTTAACCACTCGGGCGATAGCCACTCGAACTTACCGGATCATATGCTCGGCAGAGAATGGATTTCGATTCTGGTCCTGTTTAAACTCGATTAAAACAACCGGGTGACAGCTAACCAAACTACCTAGGCCGGTCCCACTAACTTTACCAAGCAGACCTCTTATCACTTATATGGATGGCTCTTGATCCACAGGAATACTAGAGAAGTAGTAAATTGATTCAGGTATTGGGTTGGCGACTATATCGTCGACGGGATTCGTAGGATCACTACATGCAACAAGCGAGTCTAATCCTACATCAAGACTTCCCAAGTGGTGACCAACACCCCTCTATAGCACCCAACAAAACTATGAAATTATTGGCCTACTCCTCGTCTCGTCATTCTGGCGAGATATGTTGTCATTACACGCATGATTGAACTGCTTCGCGTAGTAGCCGGAATGACCCTGCTTGTGTCAGCCGTGGTTTCAGCACCAAGAAGATGGCTGAACATGCTTTCTACTGGTGCACGGAACTTGACAAACATCGACTATCTTTAGCAGAAATGTAGAAACCACCATCGACTTCTTTTCATGAAGCTCAAGGAGGGAAGAGCAGGGCCTAGTCGCCAGCACTCTCGAAGGACGAGACGACGGAACGTTGGAAGAGACATACCTGAGATGTTCCTATTGGCTTTCATAAGAGGATGCAGTCCTCGCAAGTAAGTTGGAAAAAAAAAAAGTTCGGTTTCGCAGACTGCTGGCAGAAGCATATGTTTCTCAGCATTATGATGTAGGGGAAAGTCGCATATCGATAGTGTACAATCACATATAGGGACCATGAAAGACATATTTACTTGGAAACAACTGTTTCTATGTGGTATTAAAAACAGAAAAGACTTTCATCGCTATTCTACACAGTACAGCCCCAGCCTGACCCCCGAAAGCCTCGATTCATATCGATCAAGGGAGACAGGTATATACCCTGGCGAATAATTTAGAAGGGCTAGAAGAAAGTCAGCATCGAGTCCAGAGCTCCAAATCAACTGCAATTGACTCACGTTGTCCTCGGGGGCAATGGTGCGGTCGTAGTAGGTATCGAAGAAAGGAAGCTTGCGGAGGACATCGTTGCGCACACGGGGAACCTCGCCGAAGATGAAGAGGGCACCGGAACCAAGGGCGACACCGAAGCCAGCAGCGACGGAACCACTGTTTAGAACGTCGTTAGCACCTGTGTTTGGTCTAACCTGAGAGAGTAGAATGCGGGATGTACTCACAGCTGGATGGCTGTGCCAAGGGTCATACCGGCGGCGGTGCGGGGGATGTAGTACCTGCAGATTAGTGATGCATTAGCTTAGTGTTCTCGTTGCCTGTTCAATTTGCCTTCGATATCCAGCTCTTTTGCCCCGGTCTGGTAATCCCCGCTCCCCACAGATGTCAGACACCCGTCGAGCTCTGCGGCAAGAGGGGAAAGACGGGCATTCAATCGACTAGGAAAGTAGCGTTCGCTAGTGCGCAAGTCCATGCTTCATTCGCTCCATCCAACATGCTGATTAATCGACCAATGTGTACTGTCCAGGGTTCGACGGGAAATGATATGGGGGATCTCACTTGGGCGCATAGGCGGAGGCCTGGGCCGCGGCGCGGCGAGCAGTAGGGGCGAACTGTAGGATATGTGTTAGCAATTGACGTAACATCTTCTATCTCGTCTCATCCCGCGGCTCGGAAGCCGGTTGTGATACTCATGGCCTGATTGTCCTCTACCCGGAGCGCGGCCGAGAAGGTAAGGAACTTCGGAACAGTATGCGAGGTTTTCTCATCTTTTGGGTATGAAATCACTTACCATCTTGAATTACACCGGAGTGATTTGGTGGGACAATTGCTAGGAGACAGGAGCTGGCAACTGGTGGTCGACGAAAACCGGGAGTGCCCGAGCTGACACGTGACCGCAAAGCGAGTGGCCAATCAGAGTTGGCGCAATTGTTTTCGTTCAAGTGTAAGTCTATAACTATCAAGTCAATGACGGAGAAGTTTTATTTGGAGTCCAGCTCAAAATAAATTTATTTTTGTCTTCAACCCTCTGTTCTCTATGCTCTGGCTAGAAATTAAAAGAGATCAAAATACCACACCTGGAAGATCGCACTGAAGAAAAGCCCAAAACGGATAGCAAAAGAGGCACTTGAAGTAACCCTGACTACTTGTTGACCAGAGAAACTAAAAGAAATTAATGCGTTCATTGACTTAGTACTAGGAAGCCTTGCGGCTCCCGAGAAGCTGATACCCTAGACTCCAAAAGTTCGTGTGAAGGCTGAAAAGAAATGGAATAAGATATGTGCTTCAAAAAACCCCTCGGTCTGACATGCAAGAAATTCAACTGAAACAGGATTGATCGAACAGACGCATGGAAGGAAAGCAGAATCAATCAAATACAGTGGAAACAAAAGATTATAAGAACCACGTAGCCAAACACCCTAACTGTACATTTGTCTCATTAGTCGACTTTGTCGGTCGAGCCTCCGTTCAGGAAACCCTCCTTGCCGTCAAGGTGAAAGAAGCCACCGTTGTTGTTGGCGGCGTTGCCAATAATACCGCCGCGCGCAGCACTACGTCTAAAGCGTCCACGTCCGAATATGGTGGCCACAGCAACCACGGCACCCAGGATGATGAAAAAGAGGATGGGATGGCTGCCGAGGAGGGATCGAGCGAAGAAGAATATGGTCTCAAAGGTGCCGATGGTAGATTTGGGTGACAACTTCGAAGGGGAAGCGATGACGAGAGGAATGGTCTCGAGAATGGAGGTACGCGATGCCATGATAGGAGCTCCGCTTGAAGCAGTATCCCAGTAGCGGCGGTTCTACAGGAAGTCAGTTATAGTACTCGAACAAATCCCACGAGGGAAAACTTACATCTTGGTCGTTGATAATAACGCGGTCACCAGTTTCCACATCGATGCCGTAGGTTGTGCGCAGCCAGCGCTCCCAAAAGTCACCATCGACCCAAGCAAATGCGACTTGCTTCTTGTCATCCTCGCGGATCGTAATACGCATATTTTTCGCAGCCCGCAGTGCACGCTGATCATTCCGGTCATCGGCTTCTTCGATACGCAGTTGCTTGGAATCACGAAGTTCGGCTCGCTCAAGGCGGAACAGTTGAACCTGCTTATCCATCCATTCAAGGGCGGCTTCCTTCAGCTCACGCTTGGATTGCTTGAAATCATCGCTACGGCGACGGCTGAGGAGTCCCAGAACCACAAACTTTCCATCCATGATTTCTTGAGCATTAGATGCGGTGAGCTCGGGTACAATGGGCAGCCACACAGTTTGCATCCACGACAGGATCTGACGGAAATCTCTCATGTCCTTAGGAGCAAGCGCATTGTAGTAGTTGGGACGTCCGTCACGTACAACCAGAAGACGAGGCCAGGTAGAGATCTTGAACCGCTCGGAAAGAGCAGCACTGTCAGACTTCACAATGCGAGCGTGTCCCACAAGACTAAGGGTGAGACGGTTCATGGCCTCAAAATCTTCAGACGTGGTCGCGTGGTCGTAAAGATACAGGAACAAGACCTCTTCGGTTGTTTCCAACTCCTTAAAAGTAGTCGCGTCAACATCCTGAATGCTCGAGCCCACACCAACAGCTTTGTTGGTGTACGCGATCAGATCTCCCAAGCCACGAAGACCGGTATATTCAACTCTCTCGCCGCCACGGAAGAAGTAGATCGTCGGGTAGGCATTTACGCGAGCATCTTCGCAAAGTCGCTTCTCAAGTTCGCAGTTCACTTCGCCAACATTGAGAGTATCCTTCATCTCCTTGGCCATCGAGTTCCAGTTCGGGGCTAGAGCCTGGCAGTGATGGCACCAAGGAACATAAAACTTGATGATCCAGGGGTCATGGGTAGTCGTGACAAGACTTTGGAAACTCTCCGCAGTGAGTGGGATAGAAACACCCTGGGGATTAGCAGGCCGTCCTTGGAGCTTGGCCTTGACAGACTCAGGGCTAACACCTTCCAATTCCGCGGTCTCAATGCTCTGCTTCTCGACAGCTGTTTTCGCGCCAGGCTTTACCACTTCAGGTTTGGCGGTCATTTCCATGCTCTTAGCGCCAACCTTCGGGATTTGGACGCCTTGGGAAGGTCGGGACCCGGGTTTAATTGTCTCGAGCTTGGCTTCAATCAAAGCACCAATCTCTGACATCGTCTTGGCACCAACGGGGGGTCCGTTCTGAACGCCCATATCATAGAACGCCCACGCGGGGAAAAATTCGACGTTCATCTTCTTGCAGAAATCGCCGAAGGCCAGGCAGTTTACGGACCCGAAATGGAGATTGTAGTAGCCAGTGAATGAGTCCAGGGATGCCTGCGCATCGGGCTTCAATCCGGAGAGGAATAAGGGATTTGAGGTCTATCATTAATTAGATCGAAGCCTCAAAAGGTTCAGAACAACGGAATAAATACTCACGTAGTAGTACTCATAAAGAGTCTGGTACATTGGGGCGGCTGTCCGGCAATGCGGGCAAGAGGGGGAATAATGTTTGATCATCCTAGAATAATTAGAGTCTCGAGGGGTTTATTGATTTCTGCATAAGGGGTCCGTACCAGTAACCATCTTTGGTCACTTCCTCAAAATTCTCCGGGGTCAGCTGCCTCAACGGGGGCACTTCAACATCATTGAATATTGTAGGTGTGTCGGGATCCACTCCACGAGCCCCCCTCTTAACAAGTGTATCCCCGGATTCTTGGTCGGAGGAAGCATCTGAAGGCGTGCCCAAAGCAGGCGCTACCAACAGTGAGAGGAGGGACCATCCCAGCCAGGACGGTTTCATTTTAGTGGAAGAAAAAAGGCGAATAACCGGAGGAGAAGTTTAAAGGAGAGTATAAGTAGTTTCCAGGATGTGTCACAGCCGAGCAAAACGAAGGACTCTGGTCGAAGTAGGGAGGATAATCGCGAAATGTTACAGGTGGCACATTGGACGGGGGCGAAGACTGGCGACTCGGGTGGGCACTGGTCACGTCGCAGAAAGAAACAGCACTTAGCGACTATAGCGCCCAGTAGCTGAGAGCAAAATAGAACTGCACACAGCCCAAACAAAGAATCGGATGTGATGCTTTGATGATATCAGGAAAAGGTGAGTTGGTGCCTTTCCCCTTGCCGTTTGGATGGAACATAAGGTTAATCCGATCCGGGCCGACTTCAGCACTTCATCTCCCTGGAACATAGCGACTTCAATACCACCAATCTCATTCACAATGCGCTCTACACTTCGGCTACTGGCTAATGTCAAGCCCCGGTATTTGGAGCCTTTTGCTCCTACCGGATTGACGGGCCTTTTCACCCACCCCAGCCCTCGCCCTACTTTAATTTACCTTTACTCGACTACTCTGCAGAAGTTGCAGGCGTTCCCCGAATCCTCCGCCTACCGCCAATCAGTTGAAGCTTTGACCCGCCACCGCCTCCAGGTCATTGAATCGCAAAAGCCCGCCGGATTCGATGCCTGGTTGGAGCGTGTGCGGAAGGTCGTGGGATCCGAACCCGAGCGGTTCGCCAAGGTCCAGCGCACCGACGGCTCCTACACCCATGCCGCTGCCCAACAGAAGGATGGAACCGACAACGCCCGTGGTGAAGAATGGGATGGTGAAGGCCTCTCGGCCACGACTGAGGGTCCCCACCGTACCCCGCAACAAGAAGCGGAATGGGCTAAAATCATGAACGAGGCCAGTGAGACCACCGACAAGGCCGAGCATGACTTCTACCACCAAGATATGAAATGGGAGAGCGAGCCTGCCCTTGATGCCGACCAGTACGTGTACCTACATTTCCGAGTCGGCCTGGAACAATCTGGCAATGGAACGCTAACCTTTTGCGAAGGATCTCTCACGTTGAACAGCAAATCGGCGCTGGCCTTATTGAGGAGATCATCCAGGTCGCAGAGGCAGAGCTCAAGCTTGTAGATGAGTTGGCCAAGGCTAAGGTGTAAGTGGAAATCCAAAATTCGAGCTCTGGACTTGCTGCTGACTCTTTCACAGGTGGGAGGAACTTGAGGAAAAGCCCCGACCCGGCCAGTGGACCTACTTCGAGCGAGGCAACTAAACAGCGATTCTGGAATTGCTGTGAATTGTAATATCTGTAACTACTACTAGATGTTGGATGAAGTGAGGAAGTGGCATGAGAAAGAATGCCCAGGGCAGGTTCGGGGGGGCATTCATGCTGAAGGGAAGATCTCAACGTGGTCAATATGAAGAGTTAGAGAGACAAATGTCAAAGATGAGCCCACACAAGTTAACAGGACGAGAACAATTGAACCGCCATATTGGGATAGTCAAGGCGATAAGCTTCATAGTGCGGCATTTTATATGGACCTAACACTTTTTGAACTTCATTGCTGGGCTTAGAGGAATTGGTTCAAAGGTCCCTAGATCTATATAAAGCTAACACATTTGTAAATTCATTAGTTCTTAGAACTTGTATAGAATCAAATGCCTCACCTCACCTCTCAGCCTCGAGGGATATCCTGACAAATCGAGAGATACAACCTTGGAAACAATATTAATCAATCATCATAGTTCCCTAGGTTCATCTATTGCGACTATAAACTATAATAATACCAAAGACTTCGGGTATAGAAGTATATCACAGATAAAGCGCCTCAGAAAAGACGCGCATTCAGGTGCAACGTATAGTTCCGTGGTGAGCTACCTACCTACATGTATGATGTAGGGCAGCAGGTAGAACTGATACCTGCTTTCAACAAAAAAAAAAAAAAAAAAAAAGGGTGCTGCCTAACTGCGTAACCCTCATTCAACTCATTAAAGCTCTTTCCTCCTCATTTTCTCCCAACCACAACATCGGCAGTGCAGTGAGCGCTACCAAGACCCCCAAAGTCCCCGTCATCGCGCTCCACCCGAAACGATATTCAACAAACCCTCCCCAAAGCGGTCCAAAGAACACCCCTGCAAATTGACACATGCTTTGCAGTCCGAACCCCTGCGCTACAGCGCCCTTGGGTCCGAGTATTCCCGGGCTCTTGAGTTCCATCGCCGTGAGCGCGCGCTGCGTCTCAACGTACATGGCTGGCGCGCAGGCGTGGATGAAAATCCCGGTAAGGAAGAGCAATGCTACTAACAGAGCGATCTGCTCATTCGACTTTGTGTGAACGAACCGGAGACAGATGAGGGTGGGCGAAAGAGAAACAAAACAGCCGAAGGCTACGAAGCGGGCACCGAACTTGTCGGTGAAGCTGCCGAATAGCGGCTCAAAGAAGGCCGGGACAGCCATTGGGAGGAATATTAGTCCCATGCCGAGGGCGTTCCAACCAAATGTCGTTTCGACGAAGATTGGGAGGGTCTTGATGTGATTAGCCAGTTTTTCATGAGAAAGACGTCGAGTCTGGTACATACCGCATCAAAAGCAGAAAGCAAGAGTCCCTGGGTGAGAAGTGCCCACGAAGAGATTAACACTCGGCGCTGCTTGAGCATCCGGAATATGACGAGGCCATTCCTTCTCTGGGTGACCTGTGGTTCACGCGAACCCACAGAGGGAATACGCTGCGCCGTCTCTAGAACCGATTCTATGTCTCCATTCGACTCTCCAGTCCACTGAGCAGCGACCTTCTCGATCAAAACCAGCCGCATAACCATGTCAAGTGCGAGAATAGGATACGCAAACCAGAACACGGCGTTGTACCCACCAGAGTTATACACCACACCTCCTAGGAACGGACCCAGTAAGAAGCCCGAGGCAATGGCGGAACCAAGATACCCTATCGTTTGACCGAGATTCTCCTGGTCCACAGCGTCGCCGATGAGAGCGAATGCCGCGACCACCACTAAAGCACCTGCAATACCCTGGAGTACACGAGCCGCAACAAATACAGCAATGGAATGCGCCAGCTGCAAGACCAGCATGCAGCCAGTCAATACGATCAGAGAACCGATGAAGGGCAGTCGGCGTGTGCGCCTGCGGTCGACCAGGTAGCCGAATATAGGACACATCAACAGAGCTGTGCCTGCTTCGGACATTAGAAGGACACTGACCCAATATTCTCCTGTTGAAAGGTTAGTATATGATTATTTGCGAGAGAAAGTTGGCAGTAAGGGCAGGAACAGGATGTACGGTGTTCAAATTCGATTCCAGCTCGGGTTACGAGGACTGTTGGCATCACGGGGACTATCTGTTGTTCGTTGATTTTGTGTCCAATTCACAGTTTGGAAATGAACTTTTGCTTACCATGGCGTATAGGAGGAATTCCTTATCCCAATCGAGTCTCGGTCAGTTATGGACTTCTAATACTAGGTAACTGGACTCTCATATACCGTGAAGGTGGACATCCAGACTGCACCGATGATGAATCCCGTTGAAGAACGAAACTTCAACAGCCAGGGAGCACGCTTTTCCCTTGACTCTCTCTTGAGGTTCGATAGATCACCCATAGTCATTTTTATCTGAAAAGAAAACGAGTGGTTGTTTGCGAGATGGGAACAAAGAAGTACCTCGCTAATACGAATCACAAGTATAGGATCCGACTAATATGAGGTCCGACTAATTGGAAATGTAGTGAAAGCCGAAAGTCAAACAAAACCAAGAATTTAATTGATATATACCACACATAACAGGCGAGTAAAGACTCTTTGTCGAACAAAGAAGAACGAAGAAACCCGTCAGCCCAGCTTTGACCGAGAATCGGAAATTCTTTGCCCGCTTTTTACTGATGGACACTTGATTCAATCGCGAGATATGATTGAGGATCGATACTGCTTGGAAGTGTGCACTGCATACAAGATTCGTCAGATCGACGTTGCAAACATACCACCACTGCCCAGATTCTGCGCATTGGCACCAACCACACCCTCCGATTCGACGATTGCAATTTAAGCCGGAGATCAGGTGTGCTTGGCGTTTGTTTCAATAATGCACTCCGTGGATTATGGATTATTTATTTAGCCAAAAATGAATCCAATCTGCTATCTGGATCTGACATACATCTTACATACTGTCATTCTGGGGGCATGGGTGCTTGGGATTGTTCCCAACTACAATTTAGACGGGCACTTTGGGGTTCGGTATGTATGGAGTGGAGAGAGACTGGTACATAGTTAAATACCTTGGTTATTCCCTGTTTAAAGGTGAAACTTTGCTTTGGTCGCTGGAGCAGCGTGCTTGGCTGAGCACATGATAAGTCTCGGGTAATATCGTCACCGGCATAGAGGCAAATCAACTCTAGAATAGCAATAGTCGTTGACCGCTAGATTGGTCAGTATGTTTGACGTTTGCACATGCTGTGACAGGATGCGTAGGCCACGCATTTTCCCTATGCGGTATGTAGGTACTCTCCTGTGCTCCGTGGGTATTGAGGCTCTTCGATCACCGAGTCTCGGCGAAGATATCAGCATTATCCGGGCGTTCTAAAACCTAAATAAGCGTCCTGAGGGTGTTTGTGTTCCTTGTTGGGGGTTGTTCGGGAAGATATACTGCGTTCCGTAGGCCTAATAGATACCCGATTTGCACTAGCAACCTGCCCATGTGGTATACACCTCGGAGGATATAGATATAACCTACTGTGGATGATCGAAGTAGGACAGCCTTAACCCCGAAGTACCCTCCGTAGAAAGTACACGAATGAACAAGGGAGAATAAAAAAACCCATGATATCTCGTCATCAAGACGGGTCAACGTACAGACCGTGACGTCTGTCTCCCCGCATTGTACTACCAGCGACGAGGTCACTGCGCATGTCTGTTATGGCAGTCGTCAGCACAGAGTATATCATGTGTATATCATGTCAGCGCTGAGTGTTTATCGCCAGGACTTCCACGCCTTTCATGGCTCGCAGCTCGCCGGGAGTCCGTAGTGGAGGTCTCCGGGCTGATTGGCATCGTAGTACAGAGTGTACGGGATTTGAAATATAATAATCTAGGGGTTTGCAGTTGATGTTTGCAGAGTCGGAGGTCGGAAATTCGGGATTCGTAGAATATGAGATGATCTCCACTGTATTGAATTCGGCTCGGGGGCCGAAAGTCTGGGGAAAATGAGATTGTGCCCGTCCTCCCTTTCTCTCTGTATAATGATGATAGGATGAGAATGCCCCTATGGAAGAGCATCAGGCCATACAGAAAGAAAGACAATGAACTGTCTAATCGCCAACTGATAAGATCGGGATTTTGGGGGAGCGGCCACTCGCGGCCAGAGCGGCCATCGGAGGTGCCCGATGATCTTAGAGATCAGCCAATTCACTGCATTCCAGATAAAATAAATACTCGTTTGAGCTGCTGGATAATACAATTTTTTACCTTCAGCATTCTCTACCCCTTCTTCTCTTCTATACTCCAACGTTACCACACAAAATTCAAGATGAGCGCATTAGCAGCCGCCCGCTATGGCAAGGACAACGTCCGCGTGTGCAAGGTGCACCGCGATGAGAAGACCGGTATCCAGACTGTCGTAGAAATGACCATCTGTGTCCTTCTAGAGGGTGATATTGAGACCTCGTAAGTCCAGCGACATTTCTCATGTCCCCCCCCAAAAAAAGAGTTGAAGCTAAAACCAAAGTCTCCACAGTTACACCAAAGCCGACAACAGCGTCGTTGTCGCAACCGACTCGATCAAGAACACCATTTTCATCACAGCCAAGCAGAATCCCGTAACCCCACCGGAGCTGTTCGGCTCAATCCTGGGCACACACTTCATCGAGAAGTACAGCCACATCCACGCGGCTCATGTCAATATCGTGACCCACCGTTGGGTGCGCCTGGACATTGACGGCAAGCCGCACCCGCACTCGTTTATCAAGCCCGGTTCCGAGACTCGCAACGTGCAAGTCGACGTTATTGAGGGCAAGGGTATCGACATCAACTCTTCTATCAAGGGCTTGACCGTGCTGAAGAGCACCGGTTCCCAGTTCTGGGGTTTCGTCCGCGACGAGTACACTACCCTCAAGGAGACCTGGGACCGTCTCCTCAGCACCGATGTTGCGGCGAATTGGCAATGGCGCCGCTTCACTGGCCTCGCCGAGGTCAAGACGCACTTTGAGAAGTTCAATGCTGCTTGGGAGGCAGCCCGCGCTATTACCCTCAAGACCTTTGCTGAGGATAACAGTGCCTCTGTCCAAGCTACGATGTACAAGATGGGAGAGCAGATTCTTGCTGCTGTACCTCTGCTGGATACTGTTGAGTATGCGTTGCCTAATATTCACTTCTTTGAAGTTGGTATGTTTGACCTTTTCCCCTATGAACCTTGGATTTGGGCTGATTATTGCGGTTTTAGATCTCAGCTGGCACAAGGGTATCAAGAACACCGGCAAGGATGCCGAAGTGTACGCCCCCCAATCCAACCCCAACGGTCTTATCAAGTGCACCGTTGGTCGCGCTGGCCAAAAGGCTAAGCTGTGAATGCTTTCTAGAGTATTGTCGGCGAGCTTCGACATGGGCGCTAGGGTTTTTTTTTTTCGCTCTCTTGTACATATATCCGTTTACTATACCTCGAATCCAATCCTGCACAGCTCTTTCCATACAGCATTATAGTTAAGTTAAAGAAGAATTGTATAGTACGTGGTATTGTGATTGTATGTGCTAGAAGTACATTTCAAAAGAACCGCAGGCTCGAAAGTTGAAAAGTCCGAGGCCAAGTCAACGGAGTAGATAATCAAAAGCAATATCCCAAATGGACTCCACACCCATGCGCTTTTGCAGTAGGATCATAACATCGCAGGAGAATAGAATACAGACAGACACGGACCCGGTTTAGGTCGGTGGTGTAAAAATGACGAAAGAAGGAGATATGAAAAAGGATGCTTTATGCGCTTGGCTTATCGGCGGCCTCTTTGAATGCTTCCTGCACTTCGGGCAGATTTCCGATCACTGATTGGTTACCGAACTTGACGATATTCTCCTTGTAGGGGTGGGCAACACCCTCGAAAGCTGCGCGATATTGGGTTAGACTGGGTTCGAAGCATGAATGAAGTAGATGGGCTGAATGAATAAGGACCATGTCGAAGATGAACCCGTGTATATCTCCATCAAGTAACCCATCCAAGGAACGGAAGCGCAGCAACCATGTAACACTTACTCTTCAACCGAGCGAGGCGGGCATCCTTAAGCCGGTTCTTGGGCAGCATACCCCTAACAGCGCGGCGGAGGACTTCACCACCACCCCATTTGGCGAACATCTGATCCATCGTCATGCTTTTCAAGCTACCGGGCCGCGTCGTGTGCGTGTAGTACTTCTTCTGGAATCGTTTCTTTCCTGTTGTCTTGAGATCATGGCATCCCACAACCACCACATAGTCACCACAGTCTGTTGAAGGGTCGTAGATGGGCTTGTTCTTGCCCATCAAAACGAGGGCGATCGACGAGGCGAGGCGGCCGAGGGATCGTTCATCGGCGCCGGCGTCGACATAGTGCCATGTGCGCGAGTAGGCGAGACGGGTCTAATGCGTGGATAAGTTAGAATTGGGTTGTTTGCTTGCACACAGGGCGTGCGCGGTTGGCCCGGAAGGCTCCGCATTGAAGCTATTTACCTTGCCAACGAGTTGCGACATCTTGTTGACGCGGCGGAGGGTAGTGTAGATGCCGGGGGTGAGAGACAATTAGACAATTAATGAAAGATGGAGAAGTTCAATTGAAGATCCTTGCAACAAAAACAGACCCAGCGCCTAAGTATTCGAGATAATGATGATCTCGGCGTTCTCTGTATTGCTTGTAGCCTCTAACCCGCCCCCGACTGAAGTTCTCCGGGTCATGTGACCAAGCCCTAAGTCTCGTGCCACGCTAGTCCAAATTCAGAATTAGCGTCGCACACTAAGCGAAACCCGCACGGAAGGGCAAATCACTGTGTATGGGAATTCAAGTGACTCTTTTTCCATCTCCCTCGACAACACACTCCCTCCCCCACGACAATCCACCATGGCTTCCGTCCCGAGTGTGCAATGCTTCGGCAAGAAGAAGACGGGTAAGCTCTCTTTTTTTCGACCGGAGATCAGTGTGAATGAACCCGTGCGCTGACATATTAATTTTCAATAGCCACCGCTGTCGCCCACTGCAAGGTATGATGAACGCCTATACTCCCTCGGTCCCAATACGTTGTTTCGAAATATCTGGAAGGAAAACAGCCGGAAAGGAATTGTGCACGAAATGACGAACTGCTGGGATTGAATTTTGGAAGGATATACGAAACAACATATTGCGCGATCATCGGGGTCATATACACATTGAATTGGACAACATGCTGAGACTTTTTACAGCAAGGCAAGGGCCTCGTCAAGGTTAACGGCCAGCCCCTCTCCCTGGTCCAGCCCGAGATCCTCCGTTTCAAGGTACGCACAATACATTCGCTCAATCAACTCCCGCGCGCCAAGAAAGAAGGGATTCGCCCGAATCGCAAGCGACAATGGCAATGGGAGAACGTCTACGAAATCGGTTTCTGACAATCCACGCTCGAATTTTTAGGTCTACGAGCCCCTCCTCATCGTCGGCGTTGACAAGTTCGCCGGTGTCGACATCCGTGTCCGTGTTACCGGTGGTGGTCACACCTCGCAGGTTTACGCCATCCGTCAGGCTATCGCCAAGTCCATTGTCGCCTACTACCAGAAGTACGTCGATGAGCACTCCAAGAACCAGCTGAAGCAGGCTCTTGCTCAGTACGACCGCACACTCCTGGTTGCCGACAACCGCCGTGCCGAGCCCAAGAAGTTCGGTGGTCGCGGTGCCCGCTCCCGCTACCAGAAGTCCTACCGTTAAATTTTTCTTTCTCACTTGTTACGCGGCGAAAGGGAAAAGAAAAGTTTACGGCTACGGGGAAATGGAATATGTCTGTCTTCATATGTTTTTTCTATCACGACTTATTTCCATGACTTCTTGGTGGACTGGGGACTTGGGAGGATTCGGGGATGTTTGAGCGGTTTATGTTCGATTTAACCGCTCTTACATGAGATCAGAGGACCGGGCTAGAGGAATTTGGGAAAATGACCTCTGGTTGTTGTTCCGGTGCCTTGTTGATATGTTTTTCACTGGCGCTGTCCTGCACGGCTGGAAAAAAATACCTAGCATAGCCAGGAAAATCTACTCAATGATACTGGGTTTCATCTTGTTCACATCTTTGTTTTTGGAATCTTTGGGGTTATTTTTAGCTATGGTGTTCTAATTTTGGTCTCACTTTTTCCCCAGATTTATGTTCTCCATACGCCAAACTTGGGGTAGGTATATGCTCTTGAAGGTAAACCACCGAGGTACTCACCCCTCGTTCTCACAAACTGGACCACATCTAGGATTTATGGATCTACGTATAACAAGTTTACCCGGACATTTTGTTATCCGTCACTCGAATATACCACCGAATATCAGTCCAATTGGACAATAGTTCGATTTCTTGTCATAGCCATATGCTTTCGGTCACGTGGACCCTTACATACAAGATGGAGGAATTGCTGCAGCAAGTGCTCCAGCTCCCTTTCGACATTTCCAGCAACCGCTCCTCTCGAAGTGCTCCAACGTTTCCAATAACTCTTCCCCATATCTCTTGTATCAAAACAGCCTGGGACTAGTGATCAGTCAGATATTTCCTAGTATCATCATTGATACCCTTAGGGTGAGCTTACCATTTCATCTGAAGTGCATAAGACTCAACTATCAAAGCAGATTGCAATGTTTCTCTCGGCCAAACCTCACTTCCTCTTGCATCAGAAATTATTTCTTTCCTCGTTGAGGTAGCATTGGATAGGGAAGTATGGGATCAGTGCAAGCGAAGTAGAAACAGACTGCAAACTCATTTGTCCGGTCAACCCCCTGTGGTATTGACCTTGTGTTTCAACTCTCATCAGACATTTTTTGTTTTTTCTTTCATTGCGACTGTGCGCATAGTCACTTGGACGGAATAAGAACCTCATGGTCATCATGTAAGAGTTTCAACGTTCAATCACTCGGGATATCTTTATCCATGAGCACCAACCGTCATCAAAGCATCCAACATACCTTTCTCAATCAATGGGTATCGAGACCTTGTGTTCATCTCACATCGGACATCCTTTTCCATTAATGTATATGCCAATACGTAGGCCTCCATTGAACAACTCAACAGTCATCATGTATGAGTTTCGAGGCTTACCCACTAGATATGGTTTCATACACCCAATGTGAGTTCAACTAAATCATAATTAGCAAACACAAAAATGCAGGGGAATGGAAAACTTATCTTTCTTTGCTCATCTCAATCCACACTAAAGCATAGTTGTGTTCTCATCCAAGATGTAAAACTCCACTGCAGGCAAAATATGGCGAAGTTGTAGATGTATCTATCGAGAGATCAACCCTTTGTAGTGGAAACCTTGTTTTGCTCCTATCAGACTTTTTCAAAGAGCTTTTTCTTTTATTTCATTGGAGCTTATGCTAATGCGTAGCCTTCTCAAATGTAGTATCTTGTCATCATCACTTAGGAGTTTCGAAGTTTTTCCACTTGGGACGAAAACTCACGATTAACGTTCACAAAAAAAAATATATATATAAGAAAATGGATGGATAAGAAAACTTGCCTTTATTTGCCTCGACCATGACTGCAGCATATCCGTGGTCTCATCTAGGTATGATCCTGGAAAGTTTCTTCCAAAGGTCATAGTCAACAATCAGAGCATGAGCGGAGGAATAGAAAAATTACCTCTCCTTTTGTCTTGATTATTTTTGAAACATGCGCTTCGTTCGATCTAAAATGTTAGGATATAGCATAGAGATTTTGTAGACATATCTCCATGAGCCCCGGGCTCCTCGCATCAGGCAGGTATGCTTTCTCTATTCGTGGTTTTGCCAAAGCAACACCCTCAATAGAGAATGTATGAATAAATCATCATTTGCGAGCTTTCGGGCTTGTCCATCAATATGCATGTAGTCACTGCACGACTCTGTCGAATCCGGGGTGCGAGAAGTGCGAAACCTACATAGATAATTGGAACAGTCAGCGATATAAATCCAAATCAACCACATAAAACGAGCCAGGGTGTCAATTGGGGAAACATGTTCTCTTCTTTAGCCTCGCATCAGATGTTCCTTTTCAGATTTTGTCCTCATAGTCTACAGTGCGAGTGTAGACTAGATTCATAGCATTGTGTAGTTGTTGAACATAGTCATCATTTTGGCGGGCGTCAATTGTTCTTGGATGATAAAGGGCCGTGTCATGTCATACCTGAATGGAAAATTGGAAAATTAAAGGGATATTTTAGAACGATTAGCAAAGAAGCTCCAATATCAACATGGGGGAAACTGGGTCATACATTGAGGATGTCGGGGTTTTCATCTTTGGTCCAATATCAGTTAGAGAGCTGCAGATAAACACACGGGGTTGTATCAAACAAGTAAAGAAGAGTTGCGAACGGTTTGGTCTGGATCAATCCTTGATTTGTCGCACCTCGGACAGACTGATGTAGCCCCTCGGGCAATTGAAAGCCGTGGATGTTCAATTTATTGGCGAGCTTCCAAATCCACCAGATATTAGTCTGTAGAGCTTCGGAGTATTTTCATTGAGCCATACACACGTATGTATAGAAACGAAGTAAAGAGACGAAATCTTTTGATCTGGAAGTTTGAACTAAAGAACCAATCTGCAATTGGATTACAACAGCGAAAGAGTCAGTCATGGAGATCGAGCATCCTTTTTTTCTCCACACGTACCGGTTTTCAATTTCATCTTTAATTGTGTCCGTTGGCCTTTCGAAAGATCGCAGTCAGCTCCACATCGTAGCCCTTGTTGTCTGAGCTTTCAGATGGTTATGCTGTTAGGAATCCATTGGAGTCATATCAAGTCTGTGGTAAGTTCAGAAAAGCTGCATTATTAGTTGAGGAAACAAGATATTTCGTTTCGCCTTGTATCAGACGTTTTTTGAACCTATCACTGAGACCATTGGCTCCGATGGTCCACGGTCACTCAAAGTATAGTACCTCTTTTTCTCGTCGTTAAATGTGATTTCTGTGGCACCGAATATCAATTGTGCTTGTGGAGTTGGGAAGGAGGATCATATGGAAACCTAGAATATCTCGACATTGTTAGCGAGAGCTTCCAGAATCACAACAGGATAAGGCCATAATATCAGCCAAGTAAAGAAGATATCCTTTATTTTGCATGGTATCAGAGTTCTTTTCAGATATAGTTTTCAATGTGCCCAGTCACCTAGTCGCTTGGGACTGGAGACAGTCACTTTCAAAGTGTATATTCTCATCATGATATGCACTTTCAGGACCACCGAGTGTCCAGTTTGTGGAATTTGAGGGAATTCATATTGAGTGGGTAAACAAGGAATACATACCTAGTTATCTTGAGAGTGTTAGCTCAAAAATTTGGACATTATTCCATGGTACGAACAGTCGGATCGTCAACCAAATACTTTTTTGTCTTGACCCAGGTCAGCTTGATCTTGTCAGTTCCATCCAAAGTTCGCTTTTGGCTCATTGGCCTTGTAGCTCGAGTGGTCATCGTTGGGGAGTTTCAGGCCTCGAGTGCCAATTGGAATTGCGGAGCTTCAAGGTCGTGATATCGTCCTGTGTGCGCGCATCGGTCGGATGAATACTATATATTTCCCACGTGTTAGTGGAATCAGTCCTTTAATACAATATAGTAAATCACCATACCGGGAAATCGGCTTCATCCCAGATCAGATAAACAGTTGAGCTCTCAACGCTGAGGGCTGGGAAAGGTTTTGGATTGCCATTGGCCGGATTTGAGGGTCGAGCCATACCCAAGCGTAGAGTCATGGTATCCTAGATAGATTGGTAAAAGTGTTAGCCAACTTGTTCACATATCCCATAGAGAATCTGTGATGGATAGGGTTCCTCTGTTTTCTGTTATGTCAGAACAATAAATGTTTTGGCATATCCGAAGATCAGACCTTGATCCGATTAAGGTCATCATATACGACAGTGCAACAAAAGGTACTCTCATGCTCCCCTAGGCCACAATAGCCGAGTAATTGCTCACCGTGCTTGGAATTTAATGTCAAGTAGGTTCCTTCCATCGTACATACCCAGCTAGCACGTTGTATGGAGGAATGGATGCTGCCGAATAATTTGGCGACGGTACCTATGGAGGGATGCCTTGCATTAGGTTAGGATTAGTCGAATTTTTTCATCATCACAAGTCACATTCAAATATTATAAGGCAGAAGACTTACCAAGGTTTCTCTCCATAGACTCACTATCCCGTAAACTGTGTTGTGGTTGCGTTCAGCCGGGAGACTCATAGTTCGTGAATGCGACAGGCGGAGGGAGGCGACATGCATGGCAACCAATGAACAAGAGAAAAAAAAAAGCCTAACTCACAAGAGACCAGTTAGAATAGAAACAGTTCTGTAAGGGAGAAGGCTTAATTTTAACAACTCACGTCTCGGAACTCGTGTTGTGTTTTGCCGGGCCACTCATAGATGCGACGGCGACGGGGTAAACGAACTATGACTCGGTGGATAGAGGCAGCCCACCTGGCACCCAGTAAGTGAAAGATAAAGAGGAAAAGAAGAGATTAGATCAATAGGCAAATTGCAACCTTACCGGCCTAGTATGACCAGAAGAAACACAGTGAATGAGAACCTAGAACACACACGTCCGGGGCAGCAGATCAACGAGGTATAGACGTGTCACGGCAACCCAGATAGAGGTACGTCGTAAAGCGAGGAGGGAAAATGAGTTTCTAAACAAGGAAGTGCGGCATGTAATCTTCTAATAGAGAAAGGCCGATACAAGCAACTGGTATTCCAATTTTCACATCGCGCGTCGCCGCGGTAGCGCCCTACAGTATGAGTATACAGAAAATGTGAACACCTACGTAGCGTCACCTGAGAATTAACTACTAATGATACCAACTGAAGGATACCAACTGAAGAACGCCGAAATGTAGATTGTCAGCCTCACGATCCGCGAACCTTATCCTGGATACCAGGCTAAGTACTAATAGTTTAGTTCTTTTATCATAGTGCTCTAAACGTTAGGTGTAGAGTAACTGGTTTAGGTTCTTTACAAGAAAATATTCTTTCCTTTTCTAGGCTTTCTTTCAGCCGGTTTTTAAACATTTAAACAGTTAGATGCCTCTATTGCATTGTATATGTTAATGGATTTAAAGCACTGGGACTAAAAAAAAAGGCATAAAGCGACCTGACACAATCTTAATAATAGAGCCCATCTTATGAGAATCATTATACACTTAGATATTAGGGCACGGTATGGTCGCCTGATCTCAGGGCGGTCGGTTGAGGCAATAATACCTAGCAGATATCAAATAATACTGGTCGCCTGAGGCAGAAACACTTACGGTGCTGACATAATCTCACGGGCAAACGCGATCGGACGCGTGCTGTTCGCGTGCCTGGATGAATTGCGCGACGCTCCTTTCATTCTCCCTTTCCCCGCAACAATCGTCATTCCAATCTACTTTTCTTTACGCACCCGACTCTATTTTTAATGGGTAGTTGTCTCTGAATAGACCATAATGCCGACGGCTCGCGAAAGATTGGCCGAGCTGAGGGCCCTTCGTGCCTCAGGAAAGAAACGAATTTCCACATACGAGGTCGAGGACCAGGGCGACATCTACGACGAGGTTGATGATGACGGTTACAAAAAGGTTATCCGGAACCGTCTTGATCAGGATGATTTCGTCGTCGATGATAACGGTGCTGGTTACGCGGACGATGGCCGCGAAGTATGGAACGAACAGACAGTAGAATATGACAGCGATGAAAGCGATGAACTACCCACACGAGGCAAGGCTGCCAAAAGAAAGAGAGAAGAGGAACAACAGCGAAAGGAGAAAATGAACAATGGCATATCCAAGTACTTCAACAAAGGACAGACTTCGGCTTCTGCTCCCAAGCCCAAGGTGAGTGGTTTTTGCTCATGGAATTAAAATCCCACATGTTTGATAATCTGTTTTACAAGCCCGTTGCGACTGCCGAGGACGATGCATTCATGGCCGATCTCCTCGGAGAGGTCGACACCAACGTCGTATCGAATCACGCCCCGACACGAAACATTGTCAAGTCGGAGGCCCGACGCAAAGTTCGCGTTCTCTCCCCACCTTTGTCCGAGAAGCACCGCCGCGAAAAGATTCATGCAAGAGACGAAAATGACATGCCAAGCTCGCCAATGAAGGACCAGACACTCCACTCTGACGATCTCGATGACGGCCCTCTACCGATGCCAGACGACGATGATGTTCCCATGAGTGACATCTTGCCATCGTCTCCAATTAGCAAGGCAGTGGAGCGAAGGAATACTGTACCGGTCAAGGCTGAAGAGCCAGAAGATGATGATGTTGACCTCATGGACGTCGCAGAAGTCACTGGAGACTCTAGTCTTAAATCGAAAATCATCAACATGACCGGCAGTCGGCCGCCCCCGAAGATCAAGCATGACATTCCTTCTACACCAGCAAGCTCTTCCCCTGTCAAGTCAATGCCAGAAGTAATGGATGCTTCTTGGAATGACGTGAGGAGCAAATTGAATGTTCTCAGCAGCCCAGCGCCAGAAATGCGATCCTTTGGGAAACTACACGCCCAAGATGTTGTCGAAGAGGATGGCAGTCTGCGCCTGTTCTGGTTGGACTATACGGAGGTCAACGGCAGTCTGTGTCTGTTTGGAAAAGTGAAGAACAAGCAGAATGGGTCCTACACTAGTGCATTCGTTAAGGTTGACAATATCTTGCGAAAGCTTTACTTCCTTCCGCGCGAATATCGATACAAGCACGGACGAGCGACCGAAGAGGAGGTTGATATGCAAGATGTTTACTCAGAGGTCGACGAGATGATGACAAAACTCAAAGTCGGCATGCACAAGATGAAGCCGTGCGAACGGAAGTACGCATTTGAAATGCCCGGGGTTCCAAAGGAGGCAGAGTATCTCAAATTACTCTACCCCTACGATAAGGCTGCCCTGCCAATGGAAACGAAGGGAGAGACTTTCTCGAACGTTTTCGGTACCAACACCTCCCTGTTTGAACAATTTGTTCTCTGGAAGAATATCATGGGCCCTTGCTGGCTCAAGATTGATCAGGCCGACTTTGCTGCAGTAACCAACGCATCCTGGTGCAAGTTCGAATGCCAGGCCGCCAAACCAGCACTCATCAATATTGTCCCGGATTCCGAGAACCTGAATGCCCCGCCCTTGACCTTAATGAGTCTTTCTTTCCGTACCCAGCTGAATGTCAAGGAGAACAAGCAGGAGATTCTAATAGCGAGTGCCCGAGTGTATGAAGACATTTCTCTAACTGATACCACTCCGCCGGAGAAGCTTCCATGCAAGACATTCACCGTCATGCGCCCTGCTGGTGGATCATACCCAATGCATTTCGAAGCCGAAGCACAAAACCAGCGAGGAACTGTCATGCTCGCAAAAAGTGAACAGTTCTTGCTTAGCAAGTTCCTGGCTATATTCGAGAAGATGGACCCCGATGTGATCATGGGCCACCAGTTGCAGGATGTCGACCTAGGCATTCTACTCAGCCGGATGCGTGAAAAGAAGACCCCTGGTTGGCATCGTATTGGCCGACTCAGGCGTGGAGATTGGCCTAAGAATTTCAACAAGGGTGGCAATTTCTTTGCCGAAAGGCAGTTGATTGCTGGAAGATTGATGTGCGATGTTGCCAACGACATGGGCAAGGTAATGTTCTTCTGGAAGTAGGTATACGACAATACTAACAACCACTAGTCTCTTATGATGAAGTGTCAGTCGTGGAGTTTGACCGAGATGTGCCAACTCTACCTCGGCCAAGGCAACGTACGCCAGGAACTAGATGTCGAAGCGGCATTAAAGACCTGGGCGACTACCAAAGAAGGCCTCATGAACTTCGTCAATCATTGTGATACAGATACATACTTCATTGCGGCATTGGTTCTACGTCTTCAGATGCTGCCACTTACGAAGGTCCTGACTAATACCGCTGGTAACTCATGGGCACGCACACTTAGCGGAACGCGTGCCGAACGAAACGAGTATATTCTGCTACATGAGTTCCATCGCAACAAATACATCTGTCCAGACAAGTACTCGTCTCGTCTTCAGAAGGCAGAGGAGAAAATGCACGATGGTGACGATGACGAGGCGGTCGACAAGAAAAAGAAGGACAAATTCAAGGGTGGTCTTGTCTTCGAGCCTGAAAAAGGTCTTTATGACCGCTTCATCCTGGTTATGGACTTCAACAGTCTGTATCCCAGTATCATCCAGGAATACAACATCTGCTTCACAACAGTGGACCGAACAGCTACGGTATATTGACCCAATCCAAACCCTCGTCTCATTTCGTTTATTCTAACATGTGCAACTAGGCTGAGAATGAGAATGAAGAAAAAGTGCCAGATGTTCCCTCCTCTGACCAAGAACAAGGTGTTCTACCTCGGCTGATCGCGACGTTGGTTAACCGTCGACGCGAGGTAAAGAAGTTGATGAAAGACAAGCGTGCCACACCCGAACAACTGGCCATCTGGGACACAAAACAATTGGCCTTGAAGCTGACTGCCAATTCCATGTACGGATGCTTGGGATACACGCAGAGTCGCTTCTATGCTCGACCTTTAGCAATGCTCACCACCTTCAAGGGACGTGAGATTCTGAGAAACACCAAGGAATTGGCCGAAAGCCAGCAATTGCGAGTCATTTATGGTGACACTGATTCAGTCATGATCAATACGAATGTGGACAACATGAGCGACGCCATCAAGGTTGGCGAAGAGTTTAAGAAATCGGTCAACGAACGTTATCGACTTCTAGAAATCGACATCGACAATATCTTTCGTCGGCTTCTACTCCATGCCAAAAAGAAGTACGCTGCTGTCAACCTTACCGAGGTGGATGGCAAGTACGTGGAGAAACTGGAGGTTAAGGGTCTTGACATGAAGCGTCGTGAATACTGTGCCCTCTCAAAGGAGGTATCATCGAAGCTGCTCAACGAAATTCTGTCAGGTGAAGACCAGGAAGTCGTGCTCAACAAGATTCACGAGTACTTGCGTGAGCTTGCAGAGAGGATGAAGGAATACACAATTCCTGCGCAAAAATACGTGATCTACACTGTACGTGATGAACCAGAGGATTTTTCTAAATCGCTTTACTGACGCTTTATCAGAAACTTTCAAAACGACCCCAGGAGTACCCCAATAAAGAAAGCATGCCACCGGCACAAGTCGCTCTCCGCGAAATTGCCCGGGGCAAGACAGTTAGACCGAACGACGTCATCTCATATATCGTGACCAACGGAGACTCGGAAACCTCATCTCTGCCTCCTGCGAAGCGATCATACAGC